TCTCACATATCTCTCTAAGTGGACAAAAAGGGGGCGGCGTATTCGCGTTGGGGCGCGGCTTCGCCGCGAGCCGTGCGCTTCGCGCAAAAACCGGGGCCGCAAGTCCGTCTAGGTTTTAAGAGCCGGTTTAAAACCGGGTTTTAAGGTCTAAAACTAGGTTTTATGCTTTTTGGTACAAAATGCTTTCCATAGACGGGGGGGCAGAGGCTTAGGCACCTCTTCGACGAGAAATCATTAATTCGTTGGGGAATCTATGAAAAATGCAGTTGCTTGTCATCCCGGGCTTGTCATCCATAGTGCTAGTAGCAATAGTTATAGATATGGCCATTATTTCATAGCTAAAACGGTAAAAATCGTTACACTGTTTTAATCCCTGAAATTTCGGGATACAGGATCCCCTAGTTTTGGATAGCTTAGCTAATAATAAGGCACCTTAGCCGGGCTAGCCCCACTCCCGTAATAGGCACCTTGGCCCCCACCTCCGTAATCAGTAAAAGTGACCCTGACAGCAAGCTACGAGCCGTGATGAAGCGCGCAGCTGAAACAGGTCTGTGCTTTAATACTGATAAGTGCAAAATTCGATGCACAGAGATCACATTTTTTGGCAATATCATCAGCGCCAATGGACTCCAACCTGATCCGAAGAAGGTCGAAGCAATTAACAGCATGGATCCATCAAAAAGCCTTGCAGACCTGCAGACCTTCCTTGGCATGATGCAGTTCCTGAGCAGGTGCATACCAAACCTCGCGGAATGCGCAGCCAAACTTTGGGATTTGACAAAGAAATCCAGTGAGACCTAGTGGTGCCCATAGCATCAGTCTGCCGTAGACAGCATCAAAGGCATTATTTCATCGTCAAATTCGCTACAGTATTTCGACAACACCAACCCGGTGACTATTCAAGTCGACGCCTCGCAATGCGGCCTTGGCGCAGCCATGATTCAGGACAAAGGCCCAGTCGAGTACAGAAGCAAGCTCCTGTCTGATACAGAGACTCGATACTCCAACATCGAGAGAGAGATGCTAGCCATTTACCTTGAATTTGTGAAAACCATAAATTAGCCATTTATTTAGCAGCAGATGCCTACAATTCCTTAAACCATGCACATGGCCTATTTTCAGGAATGTAGCTAATTAAGCCACGATTATGATAGGCCTGGTTAGTACTCCTTTAATATTACGTTTCTAACCAATTGGGGAATGTAGTTGTCGACCATTGCTGAACATTTGATAATAACATACCATTTGTCCTGGTGTGAGAGGAAAACCTGTGATTCGCTCAGCAAGTATGGCCAGCATTCCGGTTGATTGCCAAGCAATGACAAGAATGGATGAGGTACCGACCTACACACAGTAACAATTTTTGTTATTATTTTTGACTCGTGAATACCATATATGCTATATTGTTACAACACAAATGTTTTTGTCTATTTACAAAGCCAATGTGAGTTTTACCATGAACATAATACCTCAGTCCATAAGGTGACTTGAAAACACGTGCTGAACTACTTGCCACCTCAGTACCTAGTGCTTGTTGCTGCAGCAATATCCTCAAGGCTTGCACGATACCACTTGGTTTACTGCAAGAAAAGATAGCTTTAGACAGGAAAGGATAGCTTTAGATATGTCCACAGACTTACAACCAATTCATTACTATGGTTATTAGTAATAAAATATCTGTAGATACTGCCAACTTAAAAACTATGCTAATAATGAGAAGCAGCTACCATTTCTAGCACTTTGGATGTCAATCTCAAGCCTAGCATCATTATATCGAGCCAGATAATCAAATGGGGTAAACTAATAACCTAAATAGACTGCAAATTTAATCTTACATCAAATATGTATCGACAAGGCCCATAAATTTTCAGTACACAGTGACCAGGATTAAACATGCGCTAGTCCTGGACTACGTCACCCTCCTAAATTAACGTGGGGTATGTGCACCTTAAAGCATATGCCACATTTTCCTGTTGTAATTACAAATCCCATTGCTGCTGTGTAATGTGATGTGTAAATTTAAGCACGTTCAGCATAACGTCACCCGCGGTTCTTAACCAATACGTATTTTGTGTTCATACTCTTCGATTTAGATTGCTCTTGGCCTGCACCTCACGTAGGACCCAATTTTGCACTTTTTACTAGGTATAACTCTTCCAATAAAATATTGCCCGAATTATAACAACACAGGCTTGAGATAATTAGTGACTACACTAGCACTATGCTTGCACCTTGTCAGCGGTGCAACATTGATGAGGGAGGTAACAGCATAATCCAGATCAAGGTGACCTTGTTGTACAAGGTCGGCAATAGCCACAGCTGACGCACTGCTCACATTCACAGACGCACTGCAGCAAGACTCTACCAGTGTGGTTACTTCCTTTACCTAGAGCATAAATATGACCAACTGTATCAATTCACATGCGCATGCATGCATGCACGCACGCACGCACGCACACATGCATACGACACACACACGATTATTACCAATGCCATTTGCATTTAACACATAAAAAACGTAAACAATAAATATAATCCCAGATATAATTATATTAAAGTAAAAAAATAAACACAATTTCAATCCATTACACAGCTAGCTGATTTTTTAAACTTAAAAATATACTATTTTTAGTACATGATGTTTTTCCTGAATGGGTTGGCCTTTCACTTTCTTCCCAATGATGCAATGGTACTGTTTGTCAACTGCCTAGAACAGATAATATAGCTGTGTAAACACAATTATTATAGAAGGAAAATCTGAATGCAAGTTAATTATTTTAACACATTACTAGTACATTAAATACATCAGGCAACGTTAAGCTTCATATCATCTATTGATAACTAAAAACAGCAACAAATAAAATAACATTTATGAAACCTATATAAAAAAACAAGCAAGCACACACACCTCCTAGACATAACATTGCATTACTTCTAGTGGGAGTGTAACTTACCTGACTATACGCCCACATGTTACTACTGAGAATGTCCCTCCTAATATGTCAGTTCCTGCGTAGAACACTGTCACATGAAGATCTATAATATATATAAATAAGGATACAGTCAAAATTTTATACAAATTTTTACCGATTTTTCATTTTCATTCTTATTCGATGGCTAACGTACACTAGGTGCCATTTCTGTACATACTCATTTTTCCATATAACAATGCATGTGAACGTTCAGAGCGTTTTGATTGCCCGCGTACATGTGTAGTGAGCCGCGGCTGATGTCACTGATGACATCAGAGACATGTCATTGATACAACCAGCATTTTCATGGTATTCACTATGCCAGTATCCATCAGTATCAACCCTTCTACAGCTGTCATCTGCCAGTGATAATTGAAATTGCTGCGCGGCTGAAAATAGCATTTACAATTACACCTTGTTACATCGTCTTACATATAGGCCCAAACATAAGGGTAATAATAACATATAGGTTTGTTGACAAGTACCTTAGTGACGTCATGCAGTACACATCGTTTGCGCGTTTTGCATGCAATTGCGATGGTAACCTTGTAATTTCTCACAATTTCTCAAGTTGCACAGAACTTTATCAATGTAGTGGTTTTAGTTAGTCATGGATATGTTGCAGTAAGTACTGACAGTAGAATGAGTAGATGTTTGACATACGTTCACCATACGTGCAGACAGCCGGTCGATCATTGTGAAAATTAGAAAAATGCTGATTTCTCAGTTTTGATTTCTGCCACAGTAGCCGATGTATAAATGGATATTTCTCCGTCATTACAACTTGGAATAATTTAATTTTACATTTTTTTTAATGGTAACACAGCGCTGTTAGAAGGCGTTTGTTGTTAAGTGCTGTCTATTATGAGTTATGGTTATTTATTTGCATAAATTTTCAATCCGAACATACGTCTTCAATTTTAGGCAGTTTTTTTCATTTTTTCAGTAAATATAAAACGTAAAGAAAAATCCGGAAGCACTTTTTTGGTTCATACTGTGCTAAACTTGTGACAAAAGTTTTGCTTTCTCACTCTTTGTGGTAAGTGAGAAAGCAATAGAAGATAGTGGTATAGAATAAACAATGCACGTTGCAGTCAGTAGCATGCAGCTTGACTGTTTTAGCATTGTGCCAATGGCAATGGCTAGAAATCGGTGGTGGCAGTATATTTTTTAACCGTCCTGTTTCATTACACAACAGATCATTATAAAAACTATTGTAAGTTGTTGTCAATACCCTATAAAAAGCCTATATTTTCATGAACTGAGTGAACAAATTTTTTGGTTCAAGGATAGAGATGATGGCTAGGACGGTGATTGGATAGGATGATGTTTATTACTGGAGATGCTCTCTATCCTTGAGTCTTTTAGCTAACCGTTTTCTCAAACGAAATTTGCCATTAAAGTATAGATAATACGGTAACTCCACGGGTATTAAACGATATATTTGTGTTCACTCGGCACTTTGTTCTCCTATTTAGTCGGATCGTTTTTCTAGGTGCTTGCTGGATGAGTTAATCAATGTTGAGTCGATCGTTGACTAGACACAGAACGAGTGTGTGGTGGCTGTGTCACCTTTGCGGTAGTTTGCCGGCCGGCGCAGTGCCGGTGTAGTGCCGGTGCAGTGTGGTGTTTCGAACATAAACATTGTTCAAAACCACCCATTGTCAACTCAAAATGCTAAGAGTAGATTGCAAACTAATTATTTGATATCTCCTGCTTATTATGAGCTATAATATTGTGTGACAGAGTTCTGGATCATAAAATTTTATAGCTACAGGTGACCTGACCTCATCTGACCCTGGTCTCCGCTTATAGGGGCCTAGATTACACGTATATACATGATATATGTACCGGCCAAAAGACGGTATAAATTATTGAAAGATTTTGGTTACGGAAAATTTATGGCCTGAGAAAAGTGCCGCGGCAGTTCCGACGCCCTTGATTCCCTCACCAGCAGTGCTGCTCAACTCAAGAGTCTACAAGACTAATCTTTCAGCAACGCGAGCAGCATGCACACCATGCCTAGTCGATGGTGACACTAACGCGAATCTACAAGAGAGACAGGAGAAACAGAAATTGTAGTATGACAAGCCCTCTAATACATTATCTGTGCTCCACCCAGGTGATTCTGTACGTGTACTAGATCCCCACAACCATCACTGGGAACCTGGAGTGGTGAAAACCAATGAACATAATCGCTTCTATGTTGTGGCGACAAATGGAAGCAGATTCAAGCGGAATCGACGCCAGTTGCGCCATACAGGAGAAAGCTTCAGCAGCGGCCAGGCAGACATCGCATCAGAGCATGCACCAGTGCTCCCATCGCCTGATCCTCTGCCTGCTGAGAGCGTATCGCAGGAACGCACTTCACCTCCAGCTACCCCGATTCGTCGATCAGCCAGAAAAGTGAAGCTACCTGAAAGATTAGACTTATGAAGATTTTCTGTAAAGCCATATTATTGTTTTTACACAATACTGTATTCGTGAAAGTTGAGTTCAATTTTAACCTTCAGAAAGAAGGGATGTGATAGTTAATTATGTTATATGTCACGATAGATGGCAGCACTGGCTAAGGGGGTGAGTAGACTGGTACTCGCTCCCCCCTCGATTACTCGATGGGTACCTAAGCCGAGAGGTGGGACCGAGTACCAGTCTAGGGGGTGAGGCACGGTGTGAGAAATCGGAATTCACGCTGCCGTTTTCTGCTTTCTGACTGCTGCTGCCCTGTCTTATCAGACTTCCCCAGTTTCTCTTTAAGCTTTCCTGGCTTGTTCCAGCGTGGGGTAGGAGTGCGTGGTATCTCTGTCCCTTTTCCTGTTCATTTTCTTCCCAGCTTTCCGGTAATCTCCTTTCCGAACATGTTATCTTCTCCCTATTATCCTTGGCTGCCTCTTGAGATATCTTCCTATCCCTAGAAAACTCCGGTGTGGATACGCCATTGTGACTGGTCGTCGGTACCTGTCCCCTTCTGAAAATAATGGACTCGCCCACACTTTCCCTCTCGCTCGCTCAGCTGGTGTGGCAATGAGTCATCTGCCTCCGCGGCCCGCTGCCTGCCAGCGTTGCATTCCACCTCGCTCCATCGGGTCTCCGTGGGCATCCCGTATTCTCTTTATAAAACTCGACATGTTTTTACCTCCGCTCACTATCAGTCTATAACACTGGTACACTTGCTATTGCTACTCCTTCATGCGAACATCCCGGACGAGCCCCCATTTTACCTGTAGTGGCCCTAGGGGTAGTCGACTACGGTACGACAGGCGTTATATAGTTATAACGCGTGTTCTAGTTGTTTGGATTCAGTGTTTGCTCCTGCCATTATATTAGGCAGGACGGTGATGCCCGTAGCAAATAACAGTGGAACAGAACACAGTTAGGTTCGGTTAACTGTACGGTTATAGTTTTATTGCTTCCTACTAGTTTACAAATAATTCTCCTGCATTCGTATATGCAGCGGATCCTATAACCACTAGACTAATATTGAAGAATTAACGTCTCGCCGGTTTCGTCTTCCCCTCTCACGTTCGTCCCCGCTTCGCGTAGACCTAGGTAGCCTACATGGGTGTCTCCCTCGTAGTCGCTCCTGGCTCTACCTAACTGAAATCCCGTTCTTCTCTACCTGTAGTGAAAGATCCCGGCTGAGCCCTCATTTTCCCTGTAGTCTTCTTTCCTTCCTGAAAAACCCGTGCTTCTCGTCCCTCTGTTATCTCTCTCCTCGAGACCTAAAATGCTTTCTCCCTCTTTCTCTTCTTCTTCTTCTTCTCCTTCTTCTTCTTCGTCTTTTTCTTCCTACCTACACCTGAAAAATAACGCTGTTCTTCTTCTTCTTCTTCTTCTTCTTCCTACATAGACCTGAAAAATAACGCTCTTCTTCTTCTTTTTCTTTTTCTTCTTCTTCCTACCCAGCCCTGAAAAATAACGCCCTGGACTGCGATTCGGTGCGCCTTGTATACCTAGCTGCCCCCCCCCCCCCCCCCCTACGAGCCGTTGTTTAGCACGTGTTGCCAAAACGCTACGCAGATTTCGTTTGCTGGTGCAATCGTTTCACCTGCTGACGCAACCCGTGGCTGATACGATTATTGCATCATCTAAGTAAATATTCCTCTCTTCGACAACTTAATTAGACTATTCATTTTATTCAAATTTCCTCGTATATTATGCTGACTAATAGTAGGGGAGACCGGGGACAATTGTAACACTTTTTTCCAAATCTGACATAACAACTTTATTATAGTTAAATACTTACTTCAAGGTATATGAAATTAAAGATGCATATCTTGGCTTGAAATATGACTAGGTTTGGGTTAAGTAAAACAAGTTATTTTGAAGCCATTATCATTTCAAAACTGGAAGTCAAGTGTTACAATTGCCCCCACAACACGGGGCAATTGTAACACACCAATCGGGCACATACAATTGTAACACATTGTAACACATACAATTGTACCAACAAATCATATTCCTCAAAATGATTTTTTATATTTTTTATAAAGGTGACACGTTGGACAGATTTTCTACAATTAAACAGCAATTTATAGAACCACAATAAAATAATTTTAATAAAAACTATGACGAATGCTTGACTCATTTACATATTTTACATCATTTACATTTACATACAAAACATATTTACAGACCGATTAATTCAAAGTTATGTAGTTCTCATGTCTGAGCTTATAGATAGGCTACTTTTTTGCCTTATAAACAAAACACATTTTGTAAAATACATACTTTTCATACATGCCAAGGGGCAATTGTAACACGTTGTTACATTTGCCCCCGAGAAGACGGCCATAATTTGGGGGCTGTTTTTAGCTCACCTTGACATCGTCAAGCTGAGCTATTGCCATGGCCATGGGTCGTCGTCCGTCGTACGTCCGTCCGTCCGTCCGTCCATCCGTCCGTTCGTCTGTCCGTCAACATTTCGCTTCGGTCAACGATAACTCAGGAACCGTTTGGCCCACATTTTTTAAATTGGGTAGGCCTATAGTTAATTTGTTACTGCTATGCTCCCATATTAAACGTCATATTTTGACGGATTTTGCTCATTTTTGGTACGTGAATGAATAAGGGCTAGGGGTTTTGATATTTAAAAAAAAATTATGCAACTTAGGTAGGGTTTGGCAATTATATAGCATATTATATAAACACAAACAGTCAGTGGTGTCACACTCGTCTGGTTCGTTTTACAAGATTTCATTGACAATATCTTTAATGCAAAATTGGTATTTCCTCTTTATTAGGTCGCGAAACGTTAAGTCAGTTTTGGATCACGATTAAACGAATAGCCACCTAAATTTATTTGCGTACTATCTATGCAGATGGCTGCGCCCATCAAGTGTTCGTGCTTTACTCAAAAGCTTTTTAGTTTCGGCTATTCTACACTGTCTCTTGCCTTCTCTACCTACCTTGCCTGTCTCTTTGCCTACACTGTCTCTACACTGGCACTTCTACGCTGTGAAACTGTACATAAAAACATTGTAAAACTTGAATCGCACTCGATTTTTTAGTTTTTTACTGCCAACAATTATCATGGAATATAGCGAAGTATGTGAACTGATTGACAGCAATGTCGTAGAATATCTTACAACTCTTGAGGAGATTCTGCAGTATTCCGCTGACTTGGAGTCTGCTGTACGCGACGGCTATTGGTTTATGTCAAAAGCTCGCAGTGTGATGGGTCAGAAATTGATCAGCGAGTTACAGGTGCCTATAAACTGTGACATGGTGGCAAGTGTATCTGTGGACTGCGGCGAAGTTCGTGATGACGTGCCAGTACTTTCTTCAGCAGCAAACCTATCAAACCAGCACGTAATGTTCTCCATTGCTGGTGCAAGTGATGGAGAGGCAGTACTGTCAGGAGGTGTGCGACAACGAAACAAAGGTGCAAACACAGCGCCAGCAACTGATTGTTCACTCACCAATGATGACGCGGAAACTAACACTGTACATGATTCAGCTGTTGCGAGCAAGATAAAAGACCCACTTAAATGGTTCGGAATTCTTGTTCCCCAATCATTACGACAAAGTCAAGCCGCATTCAAGACCACGCTGCCACTGGTTGTGAAATTGGCCAATCGAAAATGCAAACTAGGAGTCCTTAGGCAGCAGCACCAGCAGTTATTGAAGATGAAAGCAGAAATAAAGTCGAGAGATGTTACAGTAGAAAACAATGAATAAGGTTATTTGTGACCAAGACAGTGTAAAAATGATTATAAATATTCATCGAAAACATGCTCATTTGTATTAAATGAGCATGTTTTGCTATTTGTGGTGGTAATTACTGGTGTGGAGTGTTGGAATGTGTATACATCTGTGTCCAATCTTTACTTTGTTTTATGAATATTTAGGGGATGGAAACGATAAAACAGTTGTTCACAATGCTTACAGATGGTCAATTCTATCAAATCTGCATAGTTTAGCAGGTTCATGTTTTTGCTTTATATGGTTGGGGGCAGCTCTAGCCAATCCATGTTGCTGTTCGGCATTCTAAAAAGCAATGTTTAATACTTTAATGCTGGGTCGGATTACTTGGATGAGTAAGCTTCATAGCTTTTTTGAACCCCTCTATATGATATCAAACATAGCAGTGTCTCAGGCGGTCATTTGACCCCTCAATATGTATATGAAATGCTGTTACTTGTACATATGTTTTTGGATGCACATATGGTGCGCACATAAGAAAGAAAAATAGGACTACACTAACAGGAGGTGTCGAACTTATACTGATGCCACTGGTTGCTGTTGAGCCGAGATTTGAAGATGTTTGGACTCTCTGATATGACCACTACACTTGGAAGATTGTTCCACTGGTCTACGACCCTAAATGAAAAACTGTTTTGTCTGATTGTCGAATTACATATTTTCTTAAACAGTTTTAGTTCATGACCACATGTGTTATTACCACTTCTAACAAAGAATACCCTCTCATCCATGTCTTCTAGGCCACTTAAAATTTTAAAGACCTGTATCATGTCGTATCGATCTCTTCGGTACTCTAGTGATGGTAAACCGAGCTTTAGAAGCCTCCCCTTGTACGACAAGTGTTGTATGTCACATACTAATTTTGTTGCGCTTCTTTGTACCTTCTCTAGCAGACGAATGTCCTTCTTCAGGTACGGTGACCAAACTGGTGTTGCATACTCCATTAACGGACGGACTAGGGATTTGTACAGGGAAAGAAACATATCCTTGTCCATATGGTCAGATGAGTGCTTTATCAAGCCTACCATTATGTTTGCCTTTGCCTCACATTTCCTCACTTGTTTCTCAAATTTCAAGCTGCTATCAAACGTTACCCCCAGATCACATTCTTCAATATCCTGTTTTACAATGGTGTTTCCCATATTCTTCTTCATAGTGTAGCAATACACTGGATTGTTCTTGCCAATATGCATAACTTTGCACTTTCCCGTGTTAAAACTGCGACATCTGCTCACAAGTAGTATGGTGCCACGTGGATATTGCATATTTTACATTCCATGGCTTTTTCACCGTCTTTCACTTCTAATCCACATGAGCTGCAGTTGTTGGGCCTACCATTATTTCACTTACTTACGCTGAGAGGGTCTATGTCCCCCGGGGTACTGCCGGAACGTACCTTGGGTACGGTGGGGTATACCGGAACGTACCCTGGTACTATCTAATATGCCGGACCGTACCTCGCCTACTCCACTAACGAGTCTAGCGAGTCGCCTACGCCTACTCCCTAACCCGAACCCGAATCCTAACCCTAACCCTAACCATATCAAATAGTGACCAGGGTACGTTCCGGTATACCCCACCGTACCCAAGGTACGTTCCGGCAGTACCCCGGGGGACA